TTCTCTGCTACCTCCCAGGTGCCCTTCACCTACATAGAGTACGAGTCGAATGGGAAGCTGTGGCCCAGCATCCACCAGATGTTCGGTGCTGTTGACCGCTACCAGCTGGTGAACTCATACGGGCTCTTCCGCAGGATGACGGGGGTCGGAGGCCGGCCAGAGGTGGTGGTGGAAGGAAGCTATGACAAGGAGAAATGGACGGTAACTCGCTGCCACGCCCTGCCAGTGATCTCATGCAGCTGCTGTAGCTTCTCCCCTGGGGGGATACATCTGGGAGGTGCAGGAAGAGGGGGTGGAAGCCTAGGTTAACCCCTGAGACCCAGCCTCTGATGGACATCAGCAGTGAAATCAACACTAGTTAGCCCCATTGGCGCCTTCCGGAGCCAGTTGGCCTTGTTTCCCTGGAGAGGAGGTGACCGTCCAAGCCCCAGACTCTGGGATCCTAGGAATTGGAGTGACATGCTCTGGAGGTGCTGCTGGGATGGATGGACCAGCTGGTGCCCCCAGTCCTGGCCCCACAGTGCCTGAAGGACTGGCAGTATGGCTTCTTCCTGGGGCCCTGAGACAAGTGCTCCTGCTACAGGCAGAGCAGGGTGCTGTGGCGCACTGGTCAGCGCTGATCCAGTGCATTGCTAGGAATGCTATACTGGGTGAAATGTAAAATGGAGTCTCTGACCACTTGTGCAATGCAGCCATCAATGAGCCCTCCTAGCAAGAGCCGGCTGTCGCCCCATTTGCAGCTTGCCCTTCTGGTCTAGACATGGCATCCTTCACTTCCTGTCCTGAACTGTTGTGTTGCTGCTGTGTGCTTTTAAATAGCTGCTCTGTCCCACCCCAGAGGTGGCTGCATTTAGGGATGGGGCAATGATGTTGTAAGTGCTTTGGGGCACTACAGGTGGCATCCTCATTCCAGCCATGTTGGTCCAGAATGTTCAAGCCCCATTGTGTGTGGGGTGAGGTAGCAGTTCAGAGGCACCTTTGCCCCATTCTCCTCTGTCCTTGCAGGAGATTGAGTTCATGTACAAGCCAGGGAACGTCAGCGCAGGGCCTCCTGTGGTGGCCCCGCACCAGCCCCGCCTCGACTGGCAGATGTGGTTTGCGGCCTTGGGGGATCACACTCACAGCCCCTGGTTCACCAGCTTCGTCTATCGCCTGCTGCAGGGCAAGAAAGAAGGTGAGGGGGCCATGCATGCCCAGCCACTCTGCATCCCAAGCTGAGCTTGGGGCAGGCGCTCTCACCCTGCAATCAGCCCCTCACCCTGCCCACCCAGTAAACTCACATGGTGCCCTAGGCAGAGAGCATTACTCTGCTTTGTCGACCGAGCTAGTCACTTCAGGGGGCTGTGGGTTGGGGCTGAGGGGCACCGGCAGAGCTGTGTGCATGAGAAGTCTGGGGCTGGGATCGCGGGGGGAACTCTGGGTCAGGATTGACATGAGCAGAGCTGTCTTTCATACCACTCCCTGCTTGCCTCTTTGCCTCAAATTGGCCAGCGCTCTGAGTCCCTTGCTGCTTTCCTGCCCCACATCCCTGGTGCCGTGCAGTGCAGCCAGAGCATGCCTGTGATAAGGCAGTCCCAGCCCTAGGCCTGCCCAGATCTGGGAAGCCACTCTCCCTTGGAGGGCAGCAAGGGGCCTCCCCGTGTGAGCCCGGCAGCTGGGGTGTGGTAGTAAGGCATGCTCCGCTCTTCCTCCTCCTGGGGTCCCCACAGTGACGGGGCGGGGAGTTAGCTGCTCCGTGCATTGTCGTGGGAGTTCACTCCTGCTGGAGCGCTTGGCCCAGGCTCCGGTAGATGCCGCTGCATTGGCTGCTCTGGAGTCGTGGCCTTAAAGCTTCTCTCTACAGCACCGAGGGCTAGAAACCCTAATGTGAGAGCAGAGACTCCGGTGAGATCACCAGGCTCCACAGGCTGGGGCCCTTGGCATGACCTTGATGCCTGGCATTAGTACAGCTGGGCAGGAGGAGCAGCCTGGGGTAAAGGTGTGCTGGGGCCCTGTGCTAACTCCTCTGTTCCTGGCAGTGATCCACCTGGTACAGGTTGACGAAACTAAATACCCATTCAGCTCACGGCCGCCTGCCTACATCCGAGCCCAGCTCTACAAGTACTGGTTCACGGAGAGCGCCAAGGACGGGTGAGTGATGCCAGTGCCCTTTGCCATCCTCCTCCATCTGAGGGGAGGAGGAGCTGGCTTGGGCAGCAGGCACAGCCCGCTGTCCCCAGAGCTCGCCCTGCCCTGCTTATTCTCATGGCCAGCATTCCCTGCTGGGTAACATGTTAATGACCTGGAAAGAGGAGGGGGGGGGCAACAAGAAAGCAAAACTTGCCGAGGATGCTGTTCTTTAGGTTAGTCAGGACCAGAGGGGGCTGTGAGGAACTCCAGAGACCCAGCCAAGCCAGGGGAATGGGCAAGAGGCGAGCCAATGCAATTCAGTGTTAAATGTGAAATAATGCATGCTGGAGGGAAACATTTTAATCACTTAACCGGACAGGGCTCTAAATGAGCGGTCAGCCCCTGAGATGGAACTGGGTGACAGCTGTCTACACAGTGCAGCTGCAGTCAGAAGCCGTTAGGATGTGTGAGGAATGGGATGGTGAATAATGGAACTAGAGCTGGGTAAATACTGACACGTGTCCTGTGTATGGGTGGGGAGACTCTTGGCTGCAGAGGTCCTAGCCACTCTGAGGCCACTGCCTCCCAGCCTGGCTTCTGCAGGTGGAATATTCTGGTCCTTATGCAATAACCCTTCAGGGCAGGGCCTGCTATGCCGGCAGGGCAGCTCTCGAGGAGTGGGAGTTGGGACCACGCCTGCTGCTCAGCATGGCTGATCTGAGCAACTCCTGCCTCTTCTCCCTTCTCTGCAGGGGCTTCCCCCGCCAGTGGTGGCGGCGGCAGCGCGTGGAGGAGTTCTACCCCACTGTGTTCCTGGGAGACCCCAATCTGGAGGCCATGCTCAATCAGTATGGGCTGAAGGTAGGATTGACAGAACACCACATCTGGGCTGTGAGCCATACGACTCCTGGGCACTTCCAGCAGGAGCCATACAGCAGCGTTCTTGGAGCAGGGAGGACTGCCTGCCATGGGGTTGGATTGCAATGTGTCCCCCCTGTGCACGCACACCTTGTACATCTGCCTTGGCATCACCTCTGAGCAGCAGAGCCCCACATGCCCCTTTGCCGTGGGGACAGGGCTATTTCATGGCCCTGTGCTAAGAGCAGGCGCTCGGCAGTGCACCTCAGCGAAGTGGTGATGGAGGAATTGAGTCCCTAGTAGTGGGTGGTGCCCGGGGCAGGGACCGTCCATAGGTTTGGTGGGGCAGTGGGGGCTCCGGCAGCCCCGCTCTGTGACTGCATCTGCACTCACATCTCTTCCTCTCCGTGCAGGACAAGGCGCCCCTGAAGCGCCCTACAGACGCCTTCCTGCCCACGACTCTGCAGCTTATCCGGGAGCTGAGCCGCCCCTACACAGGCCCTGCCGTGGTGTGGTCGCTCTACCTCACCGCTGCCACCATCTGCCTCCTGCGAGCGCTGGGCAGCAGGACGCTGGGCAGCGCCCCCAGCAGCCGGCACAAAGGCTCCAAGCGGCCTGATGTGGCAGAGGGAGACGGGGACCATGCGGGCAGCGAGAAGAACGGGCAGGTGAGGAAGAAGGAGGCAGAGGAGAAGGTCGAGGGCAGAGCCCGCGGGGCTGGAGACGCCCCTTCCGATAGCCTCCGGAGCACCAAGAGGAAGAAGTAGCCCCAGAGGTGCCAGCCCTAGACCCCCCCCCTCTTTCTTCCAGGCAATGACTGATATGACCTCTGCTCTGAACTCCTGTCTCTGGGCTTGCCGCTCGCGCCTTGCCTGGTTCCTCCTAGCACTCCTGTCTCCACAGCCAGACGGCAAATAGATCTTGTCTGCTCCGGCCACAAGCCTCACTGTGGGGGCCCATTGGTTATCAGCCTCCACCCCCGTTGGCTCCATGTTGGCCTGGGCTTTCCCCGCATAGCCCCGTGGATCTGAGCTGCCTGCTCCCTGGGGGGCTGCTCTGCCTCCGCTCAGCACGGGTGGCATGTCGCTTACACCCCCGTCTGCCCAAGGAGAGGCCATGCCCTGACCTACCCCTCGCCCACCCTGCTGGGGGTGGGGCAAGGGGCTGAGGAGCAACAGCTGTCGTCCCTTTCCCTTAGGGCTGCAGTCTCTGGACACCAGTGTGGTCAGTCCCTTCCCTCCCTTCCCTGCCTGCTCCTGGCCCCGCTGGGGAGTTTACTGCCCCTGAGTGCCATGGCTCGTACATCCGGTTATTGCTGCTGGACAATGGCCTTATTTTGCCCACAGAGCTGGCCCTTACTGCTGCGAGGAGAGCTGGGGTTGGGCTCCTGGGAACAGGGATCCCTACAGCAGACCCAGGGCGAGGAGCCACATAATCTCCCCCATGGTCAGGGGCTCTTGGGGTGAATTGCCCCAACCTGACAGATCTCCAGCTCCTAGGGGCTTTGTAACATGGGCAGGGTGGGAATCCTGGCTCTCCTCCCAGAGATGCCTTTAGGCAAAGAGCCATGGCCCAGCTTGGATGAGCTGCAGGCTCCGTCTATGCCCAGCCCTTCCCCTTGTGCCGAGGGACAGCAGTGACGTGCTCATTGGGCCTTCTGCCCGCCTATATGGAAACCATGCCATCCTCTCCCCTTCCACTGCTGCCTTAACGCTGCCCCTCCTGTACCAGCCTGCTAGGGGTGGGGGCCGCAGTGCTTGCCCAGAGTTGGTGGGGGAATCCCATGACCATGTGCAGCGCGTTCAGGGGTACGGACACTGTCTCGCTCTCCCTGGCCCCTCCCCTGGGCACAGGGCCTGGCTCGAACGTGCTTCCTGGCAGCTGTTAAGGGTGGAGACGTTTCCTGTAACTTTCTAAATAAAGCCTTTGACATTCCAGCCCTGCCTCCCTTCCTGGTGATGGCAGTGGTTAGCCCCTCACCCAGGTGCTGGCACATCCAGCCTCATCGGGCACAGGCTGACAGTTCCTGCTAGGCTGCCCCAGGTTGTAATACTAATCCCCGGGGTGGGGGGAGGTGCGTACATTCCCTCCCCCTCTGAATGCTGAGGCCAGGATCCTTGGGCAGCGGGGCCCTGGAAATGTAGCTGCGGAAACTGCAGAGGGGGCTGCCTGGCTCAGGTGGATCTGGACTAGCCGCTGTGTGCACTGCCCCCTGTAGCTGTGCTGGCCGCACAGCCATGGGACCAGGATTTCTGCCCTAGCTGTCTCCATGACACCAGTGTCCCCATCCTAGCCAGAGAGCTGCCTCAGCCCTAGTGTAACCATGTGAGGTGCTGGAGCCAGCTCCTGTTTTACCCCCTCTGGGGGGCAGCTGCTACAGCAGCTGTGCTATAAAAACCACCCTGCTCTTCTAGCCCATGGTCTCAGCGCAGAGCCTCCATGTTCTTTGGCCTTGGGACCTGTTTCTATTGTTCTGTCAGGCCTCCGTCCTACTGTACTACCTCCTGCAGGCTGCTGAGCGTGCCGGGGCAGTGCCAGCTGTCTTTCGCTGCAGCTCTAGCCTCTTGCATGGCTTCAAGTGGCCCAGCTTGTGCCGTGGGGCCATGGACCCTTCACTGCCTGCTTAGAAAGCCACGTGCACAGCCCTGGGGGAGAACAAAGGAGCCTTGGGGCAGGAGGAGATGCTGCGTGTGCAGGCCCAGAGAGCAGGCACTGAGGTGAGCTGCAGGAGGGCCTTGGGCTGAGCCCAGAGAGTCTGGGGTGGGCTGGGGCTGGAGTAGATGGTAAAGGCAAGAGGGCGCTGCTCCCCAGAGTCAGAAGCAGGGGCGTGGGGGGAGAGGAGTCAAGTGCAGGCAAAGGCTCAGCAGGAAGAGGTGCCACTCATTACTGGGGCAGCAGAAAGCTGGCATAAGGAGGCTGGGGTCTGCTGCAGTCTGTTATCCAGCTCGGAGCAGGTCAGCCTGGTGCTCTGAGTTTGCGCTGGAGCCTTGGGGGCCAGGGCAGGGTGCGTGTTGGTAGCGAAGGAGGAAGGGCAGGGGCAGGCGGTTGGTTGCAGAGATGCTGAGGTGGTGGTGGCAGCCCCCCTAGGAGGAGCAGGAGAGCTAGGCCAGGGGAGATGAGTTAGAGGTGGCCCCAACATGGTGTGTGGGGAGAGGCTGAGGCCCAGCATCAGCTCAGTACCCCCATCCCCCTTGCTGTGAGGCTAGTTCTGCGGGGCTCTGCAGCATGCATGTAACAGATCCAGCACCGTGTACACTAACAACCCATTTATTGAGTTCTGAGAACGACCCCCAGCACAGCGGCGCTCCTGTTGAATAGGAGATTACACACGGTCTTCCGTACCCAGCCCTGGCTGCAGAGTGCTAGAAGCTCTGAGCTGAGCCGGGCGCTTTCAGCTGCTTGCTGGTGCCAGCGTGGGCTTGTGCAGGGGCAGAGTAAGGAGCAAACCAGAAAGGTGCTTTGGGGAGGGAGCAGTCTCTCTTCGCGAGGGGTGGGACAGCTTGGCTGGCCCCAAGACGGGAGGTGGTGGCTGCAGCTTGGTCTTTGCCTATGTGGCATTCTGCAGTACCCGGACCTCAGCGAGTGGGAGTGGGGAATAGAATGAGAAATGTGGCAAGGAGCAGAACCGTCTCATCTCGCCGCTTCCACCTGCATGTGCCTTCCCCGGCCTGGGGATCCTGGCTCCTCTAGCAGCCCAGCCCAGCTGCAATGGCTCTAGGGGACCTCCTTGCACGCTGATTGGTGGGGGAATGCAGAGCCAGGACTGAGGGTGGCTGTTCCCCGGGGCCTGGAGGCTGGCTCCTGTTGTGCTTGGGGATTGAGCTCATCCAGCCGGGTGAGGGTAGGGGACTGGTGGGGATGCTGCCTCAGGGGCAGGCAGGTACTTGCTCGGCTGGTCACCAGCACAGCTGGCCTGGGCAGTACTTGTCAATCAGGGACTGGTAATACGGCTTCAGCTGCGTCACGTCAGGCAGATCCTCGCACTTGGTGTAGAGATCAAACTTGCTGCAGGGAGCAGGGAGCAGAAAGCAAAGGCTCACCTAGGCTGCTCCCCTTCTGCTGTCCCTGCCCCCCTCACCTCCCAGGAACCTGGCAGCAGGAGGGGGACCAGCTCAGCTGCTCCCCTATGGCAATGGGGCAAACATCCCATTCCCTGCTGACTCCAGCCTCTCTCTGTTCCATTGATCTCAAACACTGCGATTGTCAGTCTGGAGCAGCCCCGAGGTCCCCCCAGCCCTGGATCCTGTCTCTAACAGGGGAGGGAACCAGCTGTGCCAGAGGAAGGTGCAAGCACCCTGTAATAGAAGGCGGGGGGAGGGGAGGATCCCACATTAGGTCCCCTCCTGCTCTCTAATAATTGGAGCACAGCTCAAGCCCAGAAGCTTAATATCTGTGCAAAAACATGTTAGCATCAATAACTATGTGTGTTCCTATTGTCCACATAAAATGTCCAAGGCCTGCGTGAATCTTAAATTTTTGGCCTCAGTAACTTCATGTGGCAGAGAGTTCCACAGCTCCCTGGTACTCTGTGTTGGCAGGGGGGGAGGGGGAGATTTCCTTTTATCAGTTTCAAATTTGCTGCCGTTGCTTGCATGGTCGCGATGCCCAACCTCAGTGGCTGGCTCAACAGCCCCTGTCCCCTTCCCCCTGCCCCAGGGCTGGGGCACGCACTTGAACTCCTTGACCCAGGCCAGCATGCGCAGGTCCTCGTTGCTGCACAGGTGCATGTAATCCCCGCCCGTGTGCCAGGGGTAGAACGAGTGGAAGCGGATCATGTAGAAAGCCTGCAAGAGGAGAAAGGGGTGAGAGGAGCAGCATCGGCCCGGACCCACCCATCCCACCAACTGATACAGCCCAGCCCAGGGGGCTTCTCTCCACTCCCTGGAGCCAAATCTCCCATTTGTGTCCCCAAGGCTTTTGGTGCCTCCTCCTCAGAGCATGCAGGAGGGGGTATCAGCGCCATGCCAACGGGGCATCAAGGAGCAGGTGGAGGCAGAGGAACGGGACTGTGAAGACTTCCGGTTGCATAACCCAGCTGGACAGCAGGGGACAGCCCATGGGGCAAATGCCCAGCATGCTGTTCCTGGGGGCGGCAGGAGACAGTCCCCTGGCTCAGCTGGGGGACAGGCATGAATCAGTTCTCACAGCCACATACCCCCGTTTCACCCCCCACCCCAAAAAAACCTCCAAAGATCCCCAGCCACTTACCTCCTCGGGGAGAGCAAAATTGTTGAATTTCATGACTTGGTACATGTACTCTGAGGAGAGAGCAGTGTTAGCCCTGCGAGCCCGGGCACCCAGACTACCTCCAACACCCTGTCCCAGCCTCTCTGCTCACAGGATACTCCTACCCGTCTCGGCGTGTGGCGGCTGTGCCAGCCAGAAATGAACCTGCAGTAAGGACTGCATGCAGCTAGCTACGTGCGCCCAGCGGAAAACCAGGCCCCGGGTGCCTCCTGCTGGGCACCCAAGGTCACTGCCCACATCTGACATTATTAGCCCGGTGCCAGGCGCTGCGCAGATCAGTCAGGGGATGGAGCACCCATTGCAGGAGCTGACAATGCCACAGAGTAAAAGCAGGGTACGCGTGCCACCTGAGGGCAGAACTCCTGCGTTCTGTTCCTGGCTCTGACAGTGATTTGCAAGGGGACCTTGGGCAAGTCTGTGCCTCTGTTTCCCCAGCTGTGAATGGGGGATACACAAGTCACGCACTACCTACTGGAGCACCTCTGTTAGCTGGCAGTAGGCTGCTATCCTCTGTGGTCCAGCCGCTAGCCGGCAACAGGAGAGATGCTTTGCAAGGGTATTCCATCATAGTGCCCTCAGCCCCTGTGGACAGGGACGGGCCGCTGGGGGGAAGATCCTGATTGCCGTGGGCAGGGGGCGAGCATCATGTGTCTGGAGAGCTGCCCCCGGACTGCATTTTGTTCCTCTGATACCTGGCTGCGCTTTGGCGGAGGCTGTTGGCGGGGGAGGGTGCACAGGCCAAGGGAACAGCAAGGTGAGAAGAGGGCCAGGGAGGCAGGGCCCCACGTGCAGGAGGTGGGGAGGGGGACAACGGGACAGGAGAGGTGGTGGGTTTGGGAGCTGCAGGTGGGAGGGGGGGTGCAGCTGTGGCCCTGGGATGAGGGGGATAGTGCGAAGGGAGCCCTATGGGACACCGACCGCAAGGGGCAGGGGAAGGTCCCCAAGGAGCAAGATGAGGGAGAGCCGGGAGGAGAGGGCAGCCGAGAGCTCCAGGAGCAGGGATCTGGTGCATTGACCCTCACCCTGAAGGGGCCCTAGAAGCAAATCCCCCTCCCCGGCTCCATTCTCCAAGAGGCTTTGGGAGCCAGGCCCAGCCCTCGGCCGCAGCCAGGAGCCCCGCGCCGGGCACGCCCTTACCGTCATGGCCCCAGGACATAAGCACGTTGGCCAGGCCGCAGTGAGGCTGGTAGATCCCATACTGCGTGCTGAGCAAGAGAGAGAGACAGTCAATGGAGCTCCCGGCGGGGCCCCAGCCCTCCCGCCTCGTCCCCTCTCCTTGGGGGAGCGCCCTGCAGGGCTACAGGGCACTAGCGCTGGCTCGGAGCCGGCAGGGCAGGTGCCTGCAGGCGGGTGCAGAACATGGGCCGTGGTAACAATCGGCCAACTCAGCATGTTAATTGTTGGGGAAACTGAGCCCCGCACCCCCCATCTGGGGGGGAAGGAGGGCAGGACGCAGACCCGCCCATGTGGGGCACTACGGGGACTCGAGACTGCAGCTGTGCCATTGGAGGGGGATTACACCTCACCCGCCCCAATGCCCAGCTGCTCTCACCACCCCAGGCCCAGCTCTCTGCTGCTCCAGCCCGCAGACCATGGGAGGCTGCTGGGTGTAGGGGCGGCCCTGGGGCAGAGCCATCCCAGTGGGAGGCTGCCCTGTAGGGTGCGGTGTGCCTAGGGGTCACTTCCTAGTGGGATGGGACCCCCAGGGCTCAGGGGCCCGGGGGGGGGGGGGGGAAGGGGTAGGACTCACTTGTACAGGGGGGTTTTTGTGTCGGGGTTGTCGTGGAAGGTGGAGTCGCTGAAGACGACAGACTCCTGGACCCTGCAGCCCACGGGGAATGTGTCGCCCACCACGGCCCACTGCAGAGAGAACGGGGAGGAAAGGGCTCACCAGCCATGGCCCAGCTGAGGGCCACCTGACCCAGGGTCCTGGCTCCAACCATGGTCCCTTCAGTGGGTAGCTGAGGGTGGGGGAGGGTAATCTGCTCCACACCAGCCCCATCCTGGGCTCTCGTAGCCACAGATCAGCATTAACTGCAGTAGCTCCAGATCTCCATGGGACCCACGGACACGGCCCTTCTCTCTGAATCTTGCTGGGTGCTTGGCCCGTCCCGCTGGTCGGGCTCTGAGCTGGGCACCAGCTGTCCTGGAACACACAGCTGAGGAGCTGGCCAGGGGCTGGGGGGCGACCCCCGCTGGCTCCCCTTGCAAAGGGCTCTGTGTCTGACGGGCTCTCTGACAGGTGGCCTGCATGCAGCTAGCCTCTTAGGGCATTGCCCCCCTCACTCCCCCTCCCCTGGTGATCCCCAGGGATCACACGGGTAACCAGTCCGGCTGGATGCATTCGACCCACTCCCCTGCCTGGAGCACACGCTGCCTCCGCGGCTGCTCACCTGAGGCTCCCCGGCCAGGGCCAGGACTTTGCCCATGTCATGCAGCAGCCCGACCAGCTGGAACCAGTCTGTGACAGAGAGAGCAGAGAGGGGTCAGCCTGGGGCTGGGGTGGGGGCAGCCCGCTGGCGGGGCTGTTCGGCAGCAGAAAAGCCCACGCTGGTTTCTCGTCCCGGAGCAGGAAGGGGGTCGGTCCCTACCTACCCGGCTCTGCAGAGACCCCCGCTGGGATCCTGCACCCAAGCCCCCCAGTCCCGGCGCACACATGGACTGGCCCTACCTTTGTCCGGGTGGGCCCGGCGGATGCCCTCGGCGGTCTGGTACGCGTGGTAGGAGTTGGGAAAGTCCACGTCCGGGTCCGATTCATCCACCACGTTGTCCAGTAAATCCAAGGCCTCCATGATGCTCATTCGGTGCTGGGCACAGGCCCCGTACTCTGCGCCCTGGGGACAGGGGAGCTGGTGAGGCCCAGCTCTGAGCACAGGGGTCACTGCCAGCTCCTGGGGCCAGAAATGGGGCGGGAGAATGTCTGCACCAGCCTCACTCCCTTGGCTGGGGTCCCCAGGGGCTGTCGGGGGAGCAGTGTTCCCTAAGGGGTTCTGGGCTGGGGAGGGGGAGGGAGGGGGCTCCCGTGGGCAGGGGTTCCCAGGGACAGTCGGGGGAGCAGCGTTCCCTAAGGGGCTGGGGAGGGGAGGGGGCTTCCATGGGCTGGGGTTCCCAGGGACTGTCGGGGGAGCAGCGTTCCCTAAGGGGCTCTGGGCTGAGGGGGAGGAGTCTCCCGTGGGCTGGGGTTACCAGGGACTGTCGGGGGAGCAGCGTTCCCTAAGAGGCTCTGGGGAGGGGAGGGGGCTCCCGAGGGCTGGGGTCCCCAGGAGCTGTCGGGGGAGCAGCGTTCCCTAAGGGGCGCTGGGCTGGAGAGGGGGAGGGAGGGGGCTCCCGTTTGCTGGGGTTCCCAGGAGCTGTCGGGGGAGCAGCGTTCCCTAAGGGGCTCTGGGCTGGGGAGGGGAGGGGACTCCTGGTGGGCTGGGGTTCCCAGGGACAGTCGGGGGAGCAGCGTTCCCTAAGGGGCTCTGGGCTGGGCTGGGGAGGGAGGGGGCTCCCGTGGGCTGGGGCTCCTGGCGAGCTGGGCTGTGGCTAACCCTTTCCTAGACACAACCGCTGGAGAGTCATAGTCCCCTCTCAGGAAGGGGCTGTCTGAGCGTCTCGGGGGGCTGGGTCAGCGGCGCTGGAGGGGCACAGGTGGGGCTCTGTGCGTCCCCAGGGGACGTACCTTCTTCCGGACAAAGTCCACGGTCTGGTGCGTGTGCATCAGCAGGTAGGTGTTATACACGCGATCTAGCAGCGGCCCGGCCTGGAACAACACACCCATGACTCAAACGAGAGCCCAGGCCTGCTACTCCAGCCCCAGCCTCTCCAACAGGAGGTAGATATGGAGTTCTGGACATGGGGAGCAGGACAGGAGCGCTGGCTGTGGGAGGAGCGCCCAGCTATTCCAGTCCTGGTCACTCCCAGCAGGGGGCGCTGTGGGGCGGG